ATGGTTAGGAACATGGCATGTGAAATACATACCCTTTTTGTTAAAATCGTATAAGCAGAAATTAGGAAGCAAAAAAAAAAAAGTTGGGTTGGGTTTGGTTTTGTTTCTTGTGTGTGTATTTTGGTCTTTTTGTGCCTGGGGATCAAACCCAGGTAAAGGGTCCTGGAGATCTTGTCTAAGGGAGAGGATGCTGTGACTAGATTTGAGGTGTCATTTAACTCCAAGTATCAAGTACTGCAGTCAGTTGAAGGTAAACTACTAAAGAGCAAAAGTGTGCCACTACATGCCTAAGTGTAAGTGTTTCAAAATAGACATTGAATGTGGGAAGAAAAGTTTGGAATCTATCACAGACATTACTTTGAAAGGGAGCTGTTGTCATTGTCATTCCTCAATTGTGAGTGTATTGTGTAAATAAATATTTCTGCATCTAAAATCTTGATCATTTCCTGTGCTACAAGTTTTATAATTTTTTTCTTTTGTAAGCTATTGCTATGTTTCTGGTTTGGGAGAGTTTGATTTTCCTTGAACTTTGAAAATCTGATGTCCCTGAGACTTATTTCTGTTAAAAATATACTTTTCACCGGGCGCATGGCACATGCCTATAATCCCAGTGGCTTCATAAGGCTGAGACAGGAGAATCACGAGTTTAAAGCCAGCACCAGCAATTTTAGCGAGGTGCAAAGCAACTCAATGAGACCCTGTCTCTAAATAAAATACAAAACAAGGCTAGGAATGTGGCTCAGTGGTTGAGCACCCCTGAGTTCAATCCCTGGTATCAAATCAGGTAGCTCATGAACAGTAGACCTACAGCTATAGGTGACGTGGGGCTTGGTGGCCATAAGGAGATGGAAATGGCAGACATGAGAAGTGAAATGCAAACTTTTGGAGAAAAGTCTATAAATGTTTTTGCTCAAGAGTCCAAAAGTTCCATTCAAGCCAATGTAAGTATTAGGAACCCATAGGTAGAGGCTTGGATAGAGAGGTCAACACTGCAGAGTCTGGCTCCTGGTTAAGTCCCGAGTGTGACTTGTGTATGGCCCAATTATTAGCGATTCAAAGGCAAATGTCATGGGGACTGCTCTCAGCTGGTCTATTCTAGTGTAGGGGGGCAGGGCTGTGCTGTTCAGGACTCAGCCCCTGGGCAGTTGGCTCTTAGGGGCTGAGTCCTTGGTAACTCACTCCTCGATCCCTTTATCTGAGGTCTTGAGCACAGACATCAAAAGTGGAAAAAGCTTGAAGACGCTCTCTCCTCTCCACTAAGTCAGTATTTTTCCACTCCTGTTGCCCCTCTCTTCCCTTCCCTGACTCAGGGTCCAAGAAACTGCTGGAGCTTCTTTTGGGGGGCTTTTTCAGCACAGAGTACCCCAACCACAGCACTGATCCATTGGTCCTTGGATAGGACCATTCCACCAGGGAGAGGGAGCTAGGGGCATTTTCACTTGCTCTGGTTTGAGCATCATATGCCATGAGAGTGATTAAAGATGTCCTCTTTCATTTGGGGCTTGTTTGCGGGGCTGCTCCACCATCTATCAGCTCAGTGCTCTTTTGCTGGTGAAATGAACAGCATGCCATGCTCAGCCAGGCCTCCAGGAAACGGGAGGATCCAAGACTGTGCATTCAGACACCAACTCCAACTCCACTCTTGCCGGACTCCTGGGGAGCATCCTGTGTTGTCCTACAGGCCCCAAGCACTGCAAAAATGCCCACCTGTTATCTCCCAGTGACTCAAAATACTCTCCTAAATTTGTCTTTCCCAATCAATGACAAAAGTGATGCGGTGTTTTAAATATAGGCTTCAGCTCTGCTGTGCTTTAGAATCTCCAGATGCCAGTCCTTCCCCTAGAGTCCGATTTCAGTTTCACGGACGTAGAGAAAGGAATGATTTTGGTACAGAAACCCCAGATCCCCCGCTTTCTATCCTATATCGCTTTGACTGAGTCACATCCCCTCCCTGAGCCTCAGTTTCCTCATCTGCCATACGGGAGAGGTGACACTGCCTCCCAGGGATGCTGTGAATGATAAGTGAACCAGGTTCAAGGAAGCACCTGAGATGTACAGAGTCAACACGGCCTTAATCAGAATATGAGCCCAGAGCTCCCTGTGAGCCAGTGAGGATTAGATGGAGGGGTTGGACTTTCCTCTTGGTGGAGAGGCAAAGGGAAAACCCTTAGACACGGGCAACTTGGCTCCCACACCTAGAGGACTGCACTCTGTCTGCTCCTTGGCCCATGGGGCAAGAAACACAAGGGACCAAGTGTTGTGCCTGCCAGGTCATGCGTAGGTCATGCACCAGGTGCCAGGAAGCATGTCTTGACCTTCTGAGCATGTCTCCAGGCTGCCTTCCCAGGAAGGTCCTCAGGAGAGGAGACCATGCTCCCAGGTCACAGGCCTGGTCAGAAAGGGCAGCTAACGGACGCTGTGGGGTGAGTATCGGAACAGATCCTGGGCTTGAGGACAGGGTGTCCACAGACTTGCTGTAAAGCCCCACACAAGCCAGAACTGGGAAGAGAAAAGGGCCATGGGCCAGCAGCCCTTTTTAATAGTCTCTCGCTTCTGGCCACACAAACAGGAGGAGCAGCTCTCCTCCGCACCCCTGTTCATTTCGCAGCAATCCATAAACTGAATGTGAAGGTTTGTTTCCATACTTTGGGGAATGTTTGTTCTTATTATTCATTTAAAAATTATACTTTAAAATCAAATAAATGCTTAGCTTTAGGCCTGGGAGATAGCAAGGCTCAATAAATATTAGCAGAGCTATATTCTAATGTATTCACTACACTCAACAGCAGAGTCGAGACTTGCTGGAACTCGGTTTCTTCCAGTTTAAAACAGCCTCTTTTCAAAAAGGTCTTCTTCTATGGCCTGTTTTTTTCTTCTCTTCATCTCAGGAGGCTCTGAGCAAGGGACAGCTGAAGGACCTCAGGTTGTGGGGAGGACTGTGGCGAGGGCTAGTCTGTCTGTTGTCCCCCTGACTTCTTTAGAGTATGCACATCTTCCCTGGCCTTTTACTTCCAACCTCCAGCCTTGCTGCCTCCAACCTCACTGCTTCTGCCACTGAGGTGACCGTAGTTGGACACCCTCTGGTACCTGGACTGGGTTCTCTACTGTGGCTCTTGATGGAAATTCTGATTCTCTGAGACTTAACAGCAAGCTCAGACCAGCTCCCAGCTCAGACAGCAGTCTCAGAAACCCCAAGGCAACCCTTAGCTCTGTGTGAACTCGATTCTCAGCCACCTTGTTATCTTCTATTGACAGTAAGAGGAAAACAGGAAAAGGGTGTGACATGCAGGACACTTACTCTGTGCCCAGCTCCACGCAGGTTTTTTCACATTGCAAGTGTCTCCTTGGCCCATTCCCACAATCCAGTGAGGCAGACATTTCAGGTGAAGGTTCTCATGCAGCTCTGGTGTTATGAACTGAAATGTATTCTCCAAAATTCACAAGCCGAGGCTCTAACCCTCAGCGTGACTTTATATGGTGACAGGGCCTTAAGGAGGCAATAGAAGTTAGAAGAGGTCACATGGGTAGGGCCCTTATCCAAAAGGATCAGTGTCCTTTTAAGTGGAAGAGGCACCCGAGACTACCCACTCCCCCACCTCTCTCTCTCTCTCTCTCTCTCTCACACACACACACACACACACACACACACACACAATACCATGTGATTATGCCATGAGAAGGTGGCCACTTACAAGCCAGGAAAAGATCCCTCACCAGAAATCCAATTTGCTACGTGATAACCTTGGCCTTCTGACCTCCAGAATGGTGAGAAAATAGAAGTCTGTTACTTGAGCCCCTCATTCTGTGGTACGTGGTTACAAGAGCCAGAGCAGATACACCTAGAGGCCCAAATATAAGACCTCTGGGAACCCAAGCAGGTGGTCACTGAAGCATTCCTGGTTCTGAGCAGATGGGGTACCTGGTGTCCCCATGACATCTAGGATCCCCAGGACTCCATGCCCACAGAGTTACAATCTCATCTTGTCCCCAGCTGTTGTGGGCTGGATCTGGAATGTCCCCCAAAAGCTCATGTGTTGAAGGCTTGGCCCTTGATACTGCGGGCTTCAGGAATGGCCTTGGGGAAGGGAAGCCCATGAGGACTCTGGCCTCACAGTGGATTAATCCAGTGATGGCCAAATGGATGACTGGGAGAAAACCAAGTACAGCAGAAGAATGTCTTCAAACTACAGGCAGGCAGGGAATGGTTAGAAGAAGCAGGTGCCCAGGACATGCCCTTAGGGACTTGCCCTTGGCCCCTTCTCCCCCACCACTTCCCTTCTCTCTCCTTCATGGCTGCTTCCCTCTGCATCCCTTGCCATCATGGGTTCTGTCTCTCCTCAGGCCCATGGCAATGTGACCAGCCAAACACGGACCCTGAAATCTTGAGCCAAAACAAACCTTTCCTCCTCTAAGTTGTTCTTGTCAGGTATTTTGGTCCCAGTAACTAAAAGGGGACTTGAACACAGCAGCTTCCATCTGTGCTCCCTTCCTCATTTCTGTATTTCTCTTTGAACTGACCATGCCATTCTGCTGCTCCAGGAACTCTCTGCAACTCAGAGGGTTTTTTTGTTTTTGTTTTTTTTCCTCCCTATGTTGCCCCAGCTGGCCTTGAGCTCCTGGGCTCAAATCATCCTCCTGCTTCAGCCTTCCAAGTTGCCAGGCCTGCAGGCCTGTGCCACCACAACCAGCTTCAGGGGGATTCTTTCAGAGGATGTTTTCATGCCATTTCTTCCTTGAGCAGCTTTAGACACAGACTGAAAATTGTATACGTGGGGGAGGGTGCCACAGCAGGGAAGAGATCACCTGTCCCTTCTTGCATGTCCTGTCCTGGGGAAAAGCACCCTGAAGGAAGAACCAAGAGCTCCTTCTGGAGGCTGAGCTGGCTCTGAGGGAGCCTGAGTCCCATGCCCCAGGTGTAGCAAAGGCTCCTGTCACCTTCCCCTAGTGAAGGGGATTCCATCCCAGACTCAAGGCTCATCCCAGCTACTGTGTAAGCAGGCTGAACTGGAGAGAGGGCTTTTCAAAGCAATGCAACCAGTATAGACTTTAGTGAACAGATTTTGGAGTTGGTTTGACAGGGGTTTTATTTCTGGCTGTGCGCTTTGCTGGGGACTTAAGCAAGTCATCTCATTTTGAACTATGGTTCTTTGCATTTCTTCAATGGGACTAGTGGTCTCTGCTTTGCAGAGCTGGAATGGAAATTTCTATTGTTTATGGAAAAGCCTCACTTGGGATTTTGTAGGTATTTACCCCATTTTTCTCTCTCCTTGAGTCCATGTTGCCAGCAAATCTGACTGTAACTTTCTCCCTGAAGTTTGGTTTGGAGGGCAGGGGATGGAGAGGTAGCTGCCTTCTTAAACATCTGGTTTATCCTCTTTTTTTTTTTTTTTTTGGTATCCCTCACCCTTGGGAAGTATGCCCTGGGAAAAAACAGACTCCCCATAACCTTGGCCCCAGCACATCTTGGGAAGGCAAACCCACCCCCAAGTAATGCCCTGGCTAGCCATGATTAAATGCTGATGACCTTGGCAACTGGCTATGGGGATTTGGGGTGAATGGGTGGGGGATGAGCCAGGCTTTGGGGCACTGTTGGCTCTCCTGGCTTATTCTTCTGCTCCTCTGGGCTTGTTTTGAGAGCCAAAAATCCAATCACAGAATCTCTGTGTCCTTTGGAGATGGATACTCTCTGGGGGTCTTCCTGGCTGTTTTGCAAGCCCTTGATGATGTCACTTTGGGTATCTTATGTCCTGCCCCACATCCTGCCTCCTGCCTTGTGTAGCTACCGTGAAACCATGGAAAGGAATTGCCCAGTGAAGTTGGGGTGGGGTAGGGGGGACAATGAGGCCCAGCGCCCTCCTGTGTGTGTGTCCCAATGTGCACCATGCCATGGAGGAAAGAATCTGCAGGTGTTGAGGAAATAGCAGTGGATTTGGAACCCCACAGTTCTACCTTCTTGCTGGCTGTGCAGATCTGGACGACTGGTTTACCTCCAGAAACCCGTTGTTCCCCGTGTACTATGGAAATGGTAAACAAAGTCGTCTTAGGGCTCTTGTGATGCTTAAATGTAACAGTGAATGCAAAAGGACTCAGTTGAAGAATAAAATACTAAAAAGCAAGTGTGCCTGGGATTCTGGCTTTGAGTCAGACAGAATGTGTCACTATCCAATATCCTTCTCTGGAGTCAGGCTTGGTAATGGGACTTGGCCAATATGAACAGAAACACTCCCATCATTTCCAAGGGGAACTTTAAAAGCTTATTAATTTCCAGGCTCCCTTTCTCCTGCCCCTGTAATTGGAAGATGCATTTGTGAAAACAGGGCCCTGGAGAGTCACAGGGTGAGAAGAATAAGCACCATTCCCAAGCTATGAAACACAGCTGTTTCAGGCCCCTGGGGCTGGGAGATTGATTGCTATCTTAGCAAACTGTCTGGCCTCACTAAAGGGTACTGGGTACTGTTTCTTTATCCTGTTTAATAGAAAAACAACAAAACACACACACAAAAAAAAACATATACGTAAGAACACCCCACACAACAGTCCAGGGGAGACAGTAGGCAAAGCTTGCTCTGGCTGCTACTTGCTGCTGCTCTTGGGAAGGGGCCGGTAGACCCCGACGACCACAGCATGGTCCCTCTCATAAGGCTCCAGGGTCAGCTGCTCTTGAGGCTTCAGGTTCTCCTGCTGCAACTTCCTCACCTCAGAAGCAAACACAGCCTCTGCAGACGCGGTGGAGTCTATGCAGTTGGCTTTGATGGAAATGAGAAAGTGGCCCCCGTTGCGCAGGAACGTGTGGGCGTTCAGAGCCACGATGCGCGACTGGTCTGGCTGGGCCACGTCTGCGAAGATCACGTCCACCATGCCGATGAGCATGCGGTACTTGAGCGGGTGCCGGGCGTCCTCCAGCACCGGGATGATGTTGGTTCTCGTCTTGGCCACGTTGACGAGATCGCGGCCGGCGCGGTGGGAGAACTCGACCGCGTAGACCAGGCCATCGGGGCCGATGATGTCGGAGACGTGGGAGACGGTGGTCCCCGAGGCGGCGCCCAGGTACAGCACCTTGGACTTGGGCTTGATGTGGATCTGGTCGACCCCGCCCAGGATGGCCGCGGCCAGCTTGGAGCGGAAGGGGTTCCACGTGCGGTACTCCTGCTTCACGCCGTTCTCGGTCACCGTGACGCGCTTCTCGCCGTACACCGAAAAGCCGGGCACCATGTTGAGCGTGACCAGCGCATCCTCCGCCCCGCGGTAGATGAACACGCCCTCGTGCCGGTGCGGCTCCACCGACACCGCGATGACGCCCTTCCTGCGGCGGTTCCTGCTCTTGGCCACGCCGCCGCGCCGCTGCCCGCTGCCGCCGCGGTCCCTGCTGTCCCCGCCGCCGCGCCCCCGACCCCGGCCGCCGAAGCCGCGCGTCCGCGCCCCGAAGCCGCCCTTACCCCCGCCGTCGCCTCCCTTCCCCGAGCCCCCGCAGCGGCCTCCGCCCCAGCCCCCGCCCCAGCCTCCGCGGCCACCAGACCCGCCCCCGCGAGAGCTGGCCGACTTCATGGTGCGCCCTGGGCGCCCGGTGGCTGGCGACGGTGGTCACGGGTCGCCGGTAGCTCGGGAGGTGATCAGGGGTCTCCGGTGGCTTGAGGTAGTTGTCCTGGTGGGGGACAAAGGTGGGTGGCAGCGGTCGTCCTAGAGATCAGCAGCGACAGGGACCCGGTGGGCGGCGGTCCCGACCCGCTCTACCGCAGTCCCCGCATCCCCGGAGCCGCCCTTTGACGCGGCGACTGGCGTGATTGCATCACACGCGTTCTGCCGACCCTGCAGCCCCGGAAGCCCCCCTTCTCCACCTGCGCGCAGACGCAGCTGCTCATCTGTAACCCTTCGCCTTCCCCCTGCCTCAGCCTCTGCTTCCTCGGGGACCCCTGGTACCTCCCCTGGCCACCTGGTCGCAGGCGTCTCTACAGCAGGGAGGGGAGGCCAGCATAGCCCCAGTCCTTGTTCGGCCACTTGCCTGCTGGTCTCTGAGGATCTTGTTTGAATTGGGACAAGTTTCTTGAACTCTTGGGTCTCATCATCCCATTTGTAAAACAGACCGCACCACCACGAGGGTTGTGCTGTAGCTCGCTGTCATTTAACCCCAACCACGACACGTGCTAAGTACTCTGTCCGAGTTAGCTCTTTTGTTGTGTTTTTAGACATTTCTTTTGGTCAGTCTTTTCATGGAGGTATAGCCTACAAACAATAAAATGCACCGATTTCATTTTGTTTTGAATAAATGTATTGCTTTTAAAGCTTCTGCCACCGGAGAGTGGCATATGCCTCTCTTACACATCTTTGGAAGGCACGCAAATAGATAGATTAGTGCCAGACATTGAAACAAGGTACCTATGTTTGTCCTAGTTATTCCACTTTGAAAGTTTTATCCTACTGAAATCGTCTTTGCCATTAGAGCAGCAGGGTGAGGATGGGGGTGGCTATAGCAGTGGTGATGGTGAGCATTCTGGCCGTGGAGGGGAGATGAGCAGGAGAGGCCTAAAGCAAGACACACTAGGAAGATAGAATTTAGAGGACTTCTGACACATTGGTTGTGGGAAACCCCAAAGGAAAATTTAAAGCCTGATAGTGCCAAGGCATCATGACTTCTGGGCTGCAATTAAGAGCCTGAAAGCTGCAGTTCTCCTTGCTCTCTGTTTAGTTCTGTTCGGTTCCATCCACTGTGCTAAGTCCTAGAACAGGTTCTGGGAATACTGATCAGCATTATCTAATGCCAATTCCTCCATGTGAATGGGGATGCACAGACTGTACCCCAAATCCCTTATAAGACGCTTCATTAGAAACCAAAATGTCATGATTATCCCTGAACTACTTTAGTTTATGCTTTGAAAACCGGCTTTTTCAATCTACACATTTTTCTTAAGCATTAAGGGGGAAAAAAATCATTAAGCAGTACCAAGGACAGCAACAGAACAGAGGCCTTAGAGTTTGGTCAGCACCAGTGACAGCGACTGCAGTTGGAATCTTTTGACAACTGGTGTGTGAGGTGGTGTAAGCACCTATTAGTGGAACTGAGTCCCTGGTTCAGAGAGAAGCATACCTAAAGACCAAGGCAGGTGTCAGGCAGGAGTACTGAACACTCCAGGTGTGCACACGGTCAAGCTCTTCTTCCATCCTGGTCCTCAACTCTTTCTGCCTTACACCAGTGGACAGCAATACTGGGTCTACTTTTCTCTGAGGACTATATAGCCTCACCACTTAAGTTCCCAGGTTGGAAAGTCAGGAAAGATTGGATGCTGTAGTCTTGAGGCAAATTTCTACTACTTAGGGACACTTCCATGTTTGCTCTTATGGCCTTTCAAATGAGGAAATGAGACCCACCCTATTTATTGGGCACTGGCTCCTATACATATAATTAACTTTATTGTGCATGATAACCACATTTTCATTCACAGAAACAGATAGATTAGTGCCAGATTAAATAACTGAGCATTTTAGAACATCAATTTAACACATAAACTATCACAGAAGCTGTATATGTTTGAATTATCAGATATGATTTTAATACACAAATTTTCTGTGTTCTCCTGCCTGTGACTTCTAATAGAAAGTAATTTTTAATGTATTTCAGTATTTTTCATGACATTACTTCTCTACTAGTTGCATCTTAAAAATGTGAGATGAGTATTTAAAAAAATTGGAATCTAATAAAGTTAAGCATTTTTTGTTGTTGTTGTTGTTGTTTTTTGGTACCAAGGATTGAACTGAGGTGCACTCGACCACTGAGCCACATCCCTAGTCCTATTTTGTATTTTATTTAGAGACAGAGTCTCACTGAGTTATTTAGGGCCTCGCTGTTGCTGTCTTTGAACTCGTGATCCTCCTGCCTCAGCCTCCCTAGCTGCTGGGATTACAGGCATGCACTACTGCATCCTGTCAAGTTAAGCATTTTTATTAAAAAAAAAAAAAGAGGCAGGCCCAGGACTGCCCCCACTGACTGGCAGACCCACATGGGAGCCTAGGCCCAGGTCAGGCCTAGCACCACCCACAGACTTACCTGGGAGCTCAGGCCTACCCCACCTCCATCTTGGGACACTGCAGCCAACTCCATAGCCCTCCCCACGCAGTAGCCTCCACTTTGCAAGAACAGACAGGGCCTAGAAGCAGCTGCATCTTGGAACAGGCAGCCCAAACCATTATAAGGCCCACACTTTCAGCCCCATCTCTGAAAGTGGCTGCATCCATATTGGGACACCCCCACTGCTATCTTGAGTTACCTCCACTATTGCCACCGCCACCTTTAGTTTCAGTAACATCTATCACAGGACACCAGCCAGGGTCAGGAAGCCCAATGCCAAGGTGAGGTACGGGTAATCTTCATGGACACTAAAAGATTATAGGGCAGAAACTGTAATACCTCAGATCATCACTGAAAGGAAGACACATAGACAACATGAAAAAAATAAGGGAGGAAAGTGCCCCAAACAAACCAGGATACTACAATAACAGAACCCATGGACAGTGCAGTTGATGAAATGTCAGAGAAGGAGTTCAGAATATACATAGTTAAAATGATCTGTGAATTAAAGAATGACCTAAAGAAGGCAAAAACTGATCACTCCAACAAAGAGATAAGGGAGCAAATACAGGTAGCAAAAGATTATTTAAAGAAAAAGATTGAGATTCTGGGGGAAAAAAATCAGAAATCCTTGAAATGAAGGAAACAATAAACCAAATAAGAAACTCAATAGAAATCTTCACCAACAGACTAGATCACTTGGAACACAGCTCATCAGATAAATGAAGACAAAATATTCAGTCTTGAAAATAAAGTTGACCACACAGTGAAGATGGTAAGAAACCATTAACAGACATACAAGAATTATGGGATAGCATCAAAAGACCAACCCTAAGATTTATTGGGATAGAAGAAGGCACAGAGATTCAAACCAAAGGAATGCACAATCTCTTCAATGAAATAATATCAGAAAATTTCCCAAATATGAAGAATGAATTGGAAACTCAAATACAAGAGGCTTACAGGACACCAAATGAGCAAAATTACAACAGATTTACACAAAGACACAATATAATAAGAATGCCTAGCATACAGAATAAGGGAGGAATCAGATCCCATATAGGGGGAGACCAATTCATATCTCAGCAGATTTTTCAACCCAGACCCAAGCCAGGAGATCCTGGAACAACATATACCAAACTCTGAAAGAAAATACATGCCAACCAAGAATCCTATATACAGCAAAATTACGCTTCATATTTGATGGCAAAATAAAAATCTTTCGTGATAAACAAAAGTTAAAAGAATTTACAGCAAAAAAGCCCACACAACAGAGCATCCTCAGCAAAATGTCCTAGGAGGAGGAAATGAAAATCAGCAATGGGGAAAAACTAAAGGAAAGACAAACCAAAGGAGAAACCAAGTCAAGTTTAAAACCAAAAGTAAATCAAAATGTCTAGGAATACAAATCATATTTCAATAATAACCCTGAGTGTTAATGGCCTAAACTCATCAATTAAAAGACATAGACTGACAGATTGGATTTTAAAAAAAGACCCAACAATATGCTGCCTCCAAGAGACTCATCTTGCAGAAAAAGACATCCACAGACTGAAGGTGAAAGGGTGGGAAAAATGTACCACTCACATGGACCATGTAAACAAGTAGGGGTTTCCATCCTCATAACAGATAAAGTGGACTTCAAACCAAAGCTAATGAAAAGGAATAACTGAGGATATTCATACTGCTTAAGGGATTCATACATCAACAAGACATAACAATCATATATATCTATGCCCCAAATAATGGGGCATCTATGTATGTCAAAGAAACCCTTCTCAAATACAAGAACCAAATAGACCACAACACAATAATACTGGGTGACTTTAATACACCTCTCTCACCACTGGCTAGATCTTCCAAAATAAAACTAAATAAAGAAATTATAAAACTAAATAGTACAATCAATGATTTAGACTTAACAGACATATAGAGTATTTCAATCATCATCGAGTGAATACACCTTCTTCTCAGGAGTACATGAATCCTTCTCTAAAATAGACCATATGTTATGCCACAAAGCAACTCTTAGAAAATACAAAAAAATAGAAATACTATCCTGCATTCTATTTGACCATAATGAAATGAAATTAGAAATCAATGATTAAATTAAAAACGGAAGCTACTCCAACACCTGGAGACTAAACAATATGCTACTGAATGACGCATGGATAACAGGAGACATCACAGAGGAGATTAAAAATTCTTAGAGGTAAATGGGAACTCCAATTCAACTTATCAAAATCTTTGGGACACTATGAAGGCCTTGCTAAGAGGAGAGTTTATTGCATTAAGCTCATTCACTAAAAGAAGAAAAAATCAACAAATAAACAACCTGATATTATAGCTCAAAGCCCTAGAAAAAGAAGAACAAACCAACACCAGAGTTAGTAGAAGACAGGAAATAATTAAAATCAGGGCAGAAATGAATGAAATTGGAACAAAAGAAATAATTCAAAAAATTGAAAAAACAAAAAGCTGATTCTTTGAAAAAATAAATAAAATTGACCAACCCTTAGCCATGCTAATGAAGAGAAGGAAAGAGAAAACTCAAAATACTAAAATTTGTGATGAAAAGGTAAATACCATGACAGACACTATGAAATACAGAAGACAATTAGAAACTATTTTGAAAATTTAAACTCCAGTGAAATAGAAAACCATGAAGACACCAACAAATTTCTAGAGTCATATGATCAACCCAAAC